GTTTATTTTGGTTTTTTGACCATATGTGTTCAGCAACGATCAACATTTACATGCAATCCGCCGAATATTAAGCGAACAACCGAACACAAGAACTCCAAATAAATATTCACATTTTTACACGCGCTGTTTTGTGTGCTGTTATACACTATGCGAAATTGACCGAAATGCGTTGCATAATCGATCACCGAAATATACAACATAACGATCGTAATAGGACAACAACTCATCGGCACAAACTCGGTGACACCGAAGAAACAGAGACAGAGCCAGAACGCCGAATAAAAAGCCAGAGACAGAGAAGTTTAGCGATTGTAAGATGAGGAGATTACATGAGCCACATTCGAATATTAATTTTATTTTTTCGTGATAAAAAAATCCAGCCATCGAGCGAAGTATATCAATTATTGTATTTCAATAATGAATCGCAGCATGCAAATTATGCGATACACACACACACACACCACCACACACACACCACCACACAAACTTATTGATCATTTGTTATAGATCTGTCGTCATTAGCGCGTTAAAAGCACTAATTATAGCGCATCGTCATTGTGGTTGTTGTCATGAAAATGCGAATTGTTGAGAGTGAAATGTGATCATCAGCATCACCCCGCGGTGATAGACAAAGAGTCTCTACCACTGTTTTTCTCTCGCTCTCTTCTTTTCTTCATGCGAAAAATGCGAGGTGCAAAACCTAAATTAGGTGAATACAAGCAGTATTCATAGTCTTCGTGAAAGATGATGATGATGCGGTGTCATGCAAAGAAAAAATGTTTGTTGTTTTTTCGGGAGCACACATGTGTCAACAACAGCAACATTTAAATCATAACCATTTAGGGAAAATACAAATTAAAATTGTTTCTCTGCGGCTGTGTAACTGGCGCAAGGTAATGTTCCGAATAAACACAACGAGAAGGAAAGAAAAATTGGTCTGAAATATCACTCTGAATTCGTTGCGTGTTCGAAAAATTCCATCGAATTTTGGCAACGTACGAACGAATAAACCGAAGAGGAAAAAAAGACACGCATTTGCATTTTGGAAAATAGTATTTCGAAGATAATGTTTGTATTTGAATATTATGTGTTATGGCATTTTTTTTGGCGAAGCACCATCACCTGCCGCCGCCGACTACACATAATCATCATATTTATTGATATTTTTCTGCAATTATTCATTTTAAATGAAGCGTAAAACAGAGAAGAAAAAACACCACCGCCACCGAGTGCTAATGTGGCAGAAAAAAAAAACAGTTGAGCTAAATGATAGACGCGAAAATTGGTAAAACAAATGGCCCGTTATTACAGACCGGATACGACTTTTTTGTGTATGTGTGTATGTCTATGTCTATCGACTTGCATCACGTAAAGTGCTTACCATTTTTCTTTCTTTCCTCGGTTATCAATCAGCATAAGCAGTCATTTTAAACCGAAACAGCAACAATTAAGATGAAAAAGTTTTAAAAAAAAAAAATCCGCGATGAAATTCAACGTGCCGGACGAGAAACATTGAAATGCATGCAATTTTCGAATTGGAGCGATCGATAATCCACACGCGATTGCATAATAATTGATTGATGATTTATAATATATTTGATGGTTGTGTTTTGTTTTTCTCGGTCTTGACGTGAATTCCGTGATAAAAATGCCCCACACAGTTGTTTTTTTGTTTCTTTGAATTCTCAAACCATTTATGGAAAATTGCATGTTCGGAATTGCTATTTTGATGCGCGGTGTGATTCCGTCATCGATATCGCTTACCCGGCCTGGCAAGTAAGTAAGTGAGTAATGTATCAGCAATAGCAGCAGTAGTTGGATAGATTACCGTGATTGAAATTGCATTCTTTTTTAGCGTGAAACCATTATGAACGAAGCAAGAAAAAAAATATGATTTAATGCTCGTAAATTGGCTGCAAATCTATTCATGCCATAGCAACAAGCAGAAACATTTTAAGCCCAATTGTTGGCAATCGCATTCGTTCCCTCGCTCACTCGCTCGTTTGCTCACAAATCACGGTCGAGAATTTAATTTGAAAAAAGGCAGCAAAGACGTGAAGAAGCAACAACTAAAGCCGGTAGTTGTGACCTTGTCGACAATATCGATAAAAATAAAAGCGTATTGACAATGTGCACGATTGGTGTGCGATTGGGAGGCACATTTGCTTTTTTCAATTGTTCAAACACATACACACAACAACAACAGCAACAGCACACAGAAAATCTATACTAAATGTGACAATTATCATAACCATTACATATTTCATGTTCAGCAGTACAAATCGATGGCGGTGTAAACGTGCAAAAATGATTCAAACTGGCAAATAGCGAACGAAGGCAGGCGCGATGCGATGATGCCACGAATTTTAATGAATCGACAATATGCTTTCAATGCTTATGTGAGCGGGTGCGTACATGGACAGTTACAACAACAACAACAACGACGACGACTACGACAAAAGAAGATCACTGTCATTCGATGATTTTTTTTTAATAATAGAAACACACAATTGACACAAATAATCGCCTATGACGGCACATTTCTTAAAAAAAACACAATGAATTTTGGGCGAAACATGAAGAACGTGCGCACATTTAGAATAAGAAATGATCGAATTGAATAAAACATTTTCGTAGAGCCTTGAGGTGTTTGCATATTTATGGCCATTCCAAAGGAGGATGTCAATGCACGTGATTCTCGTTCATATTGAGTCACATTCTGCCCCCGAGAAAGAAAGAGAGGGAGATATTTTAAAACTTCCAAAGAATCTGAAACGGATTCGCTTTTTTCCATTTGCGTCAAATGCACGTCAGTATGCCAGCAGTACACATCATATCTTCGCTAGAAACGAGTCAAAATAGAGAAGAAAAACACTTTGCGTATCTGAAAGCGAAAGCATTTCAAAACGGAATTTAGAGAACATTGAAGAAAAGATAACGAGTCAGCGAATTAAAGAGAGAAAGAAAAGTGTACGTAGAAAAATACACGTAATAGACACATACAATACACATTTTAATATATTACAAAATCGAATTTAGCGGGAAAAAAGATGGATGGAAAAAACAAATAGGCGAACCTATACATATATCGGAACTAAAAATCTTAACGTCGATGAAATAGGTTTTTCTTCTGCTTCTTCTGCTGCCGCAGTCCTACACCTCAATTCATATGTTTTTTCGTTTGTAGCTGCTGCTGCTGCTGTTGTTGTTGCGGCTGATGCTGTTGTTGTTCATTTCTCTTTTATTCCAGAGATGGTTGATCGTTTACCGCAAGTGTATGGAAATGTGTATCGGTATATACTTAAACGTTTACCTTTGCGTTGAACGCGCGGAGCACATGCGTCAACTCATATTTTAGTGAGAGCGGACGCGTTATTTAACGCAAAGGTAAATCAATGTAAATATACCGTACTGTACCGAGTACAGTAAATTCAACGAATTGATATACATTTACTCCATCTCTGTTTTATTCGTATATCGATCGATTTATCAAATATATGCATATAGACTAGATGCACATTTGAATGTCGATTGGCGGCGCTGCTGCTGCTGGAGCAGTGAACCACATTTATGCATGTTTACATGTTTGGCTCTACTTTCGTTTGGGAGCACAACACTCGAAATTCCAAAATCATGCAGTAATTATACTCTAGTTAGTTTTAACTCAATTTCTTTCCTCTGCATTTTCTAGTTGATGTTTGTTTTCGATTTCGTTGTGCTTTTCGTCGATTTTGTTTGCTCATTTTTCACCTCCTTTTCTTCGATTCCATCATTTTTCAATTTTCACCGTTGCACTTCAACAACGTAACAAATTATTGCAAACGATGTATGCGTCGGTGATGTTCGCGCGAATGTGGAAGTTGTAATAAATCGAATTTTGCATTCATTTACTCGGTTATGCTCAGGCGAAAAAATGGGCAAATGTATGTGGCTTGGCATTTTCTCTGTACCACAACGTACATATATGCATTATTTTCGTCACAAATTTAGTTGAAAAGTCACTCGTTTGTACTAAATTGTGATGGAAAATGATTTATTGAATTGTTGCGGTGGACCGCGATTTATTTGAATTTGAATTGAAAGAGTGAGAGAAAACAGTATATGCTGTCATTTCGATTATGATATCATCGGATGTTGACTCTTTGACCAAAACAGAATTTATTTCACCCGTCGAACACACAAAATCATATTGAAAATCACGTTTATTCCGAATTTGAATTACATGCATTATGCGAAAATGAAAAGAAGAGAAAAAAAACGAGCTCTTGGCGCATTCACTCTCTCAAAGTTTTTGTTTTTCTCTCAAAGAGCCGTTGCCATTTTGGATCGAAGTGTGGCATGAATGTGTGACTGCGTACAAATTGTTTTTTTTTTTCTCGTCTCACTCTCTCTCTTTTTTTTGACTTCTATGCATCTGTTTGCAATTTTCGTTATTGTCATCTAATGCAAATTTGTGAGAGCGTGCAGCGAGTATGGATTTTTTTTTGTTCGCGTGGTTTTGCGGTAAGTTGTCGGGAATGAGAAAAAAAGCCATCAGCAGCAAAATAGCAGCAGAAACATGTGTGTATGTGTTAAATCACAAGAATGACAAAATGAAGAGAAAAGCACATAATCATTGCCAGAGAGTCGAATGAGCTAGTCTCCACGTGCATCCAATGCATTTGCTGCGTGTTGCACTTAACCGGAAAAACCGTTCGGTTTCTATTGAAATGTCTTTTGCACGATCAATGAAATGGTTGTCGCTCTTTTGTGTGCGCAATTTCGATTGAAACAATTTGCACTTTTTCCGAAAATAAAAAAACAATTGAGATTACATGCACCATTATTGTATTAGCTCATGAGCTCTCGGTTTTGTGCAAAAAGAATGAACTTTCCTTTGGCATGGTTTGCGCTTTTACCGAACACAATGTTGCGACCCAACTTTTACTCGGCACCGGAATTTCAAATGTTTTCATTTTTTTGGTGAAACAAATAAAATAACATAAATCACGATTACTTACCAATAAAATTATCGATTCCAAATAAACGCCGATTTGGTTCATTTTGATGCTATTTTGTGTTGCAGGTCTCACTCGTGGTTTTTTTTTGTTAAACTCTAAAATCGTGTGTGTTCTATGTGTCTTTGGTTTTGTTCGCGATCGCGGCAAAAAAAAATGGATTTCGCGTCGATTTTTCTTCGTTGTTGTTGTTTGGCTCCACTTCCGTAGGTGTGTTTGGAATTGGTATTATTTGTGTGTCTTATACTTTCTTGCAAATTCAATTTTAAATGTCACCGGTCCCTTCGTTGTTTACTCACCGACAATTTTATTTATTATCGATTCGAAACTAATTTACTTAACAACATGCAAATAAAAAACGCGATATTTTTTTTTGCTACATGTCAACCAATCATTGTTCCGAACAAGAGAGTCAGATGAAAACAAAAAAAAAAGTGGGAAATAATCGTGTCAATCGATTGTGTCGTCGATTACATCTTTTCCATTTCACCGGTACATTTCAGTCAAAGTACGATGAAAACTTGAGGACGAAATGTTCACACGAATCGCGCACATGAGCGAAATGTGTGGCACGGTTCTTGGGCTTCACTCCTCCAACTATTAGTTACTTTTGGGAAAATGGTTCACAGAGCAAAAGAAAAATCCGATCTATCGAAGACAAAAAAAATAATAATCACAAAATATCCAAAAATTTGATTGTCGAACATTTATCGAAAGTTCTCGTGGAAATTATTTTTCTGAAGAAAAAAAAAGCCTCGAAATTCAACACTCAATTCGAAAAAAACGAAATGAATGAAAGCAATATAAACAAAAACAAACAAAAAATAGCGGACGGGTTATTTTTCACGTCTTGTATCGTCGATGGCGCTAATGCCACTGAATTGCAAAAATAATGTGTGTTTGTTGTTTGTCTCTTGAAGCTTCGGGAGAGCAGAGCGTGAGAGTGAGTAACGTGTTTGCGAGCGAACAAAAAAGAGGGCGAGCAAGCGGGCGAGTGCGAGAGAGGCGCGTGTGTTATATTTCGTTGATTCGGCATCGCGGCGTGTAAAGGCACACACATTTTTCTGTTGTTCAACTTCAATTTCAACGGTTCATTTCGGCTGTGCTGCTGCTACATGCATGCAGAGTATAAGTGAATGAGCGTGTGCGCACGCCGAATGCTATTGAGTTTGGTTGTGTTCCCACACCATGCAAAGCGCACAAGAAAAAAATCACAAACACATCAAAAACCCGTTGAATGTGTTGCGACCGTCGACGTCGTCGTAGACATACTATATGCGAAATTGCATATTGAACATTTGACTGGTTGAAGAACACAAATCATATGGCGATGGCAGCAACGGCCGCCGATCGTCCACACATCTTCCACACATCTCACGTTGAACTCATCGAAACTGTCCAAATTATCACGCAAACTAATTAAGTATGCTGTTCATTGCACTCGATTGTGAGTGATATTGATAAATTCTGACTTGCGATTTCCATAGCGCGATCGAGTTTGGCTATTGGTTCGTTTGAGGCATATTACTGTGAACCAGTTGCTGAATGTGTGTGTGTGTGTGTATGTGTGTTTGTGAACGATTTTCGGTTGATTCCCAAAGTGACCGCGTCATGTACATATATTGCAATCTCGAAACGAATCGAAATCGGGACAGTTTCGCATTAAATTGCCGCAATAATTTGCGTGTTGCCCCGAGTAGATTTAGTTAGGCAAATAGAGCAAAGCATTTTCAAATTACACGCGCCATGCGATCAACAATCATCAAATGGGCCAATTTTGCACTTTTCCACCGCTGTCAATCGCTGAAGATCATTTTCTTCTGTTTCGTTTTTCTCCGCTCCGGTCGTTTTATTTGCTTTCTCAACAAAATGCATACCGAAGACAAATTCACCATCGCAATTTGGGTGACTTTGTCGCCAGTTCGTTCGTTCGATCGTTCGCTCATTCACAATGTTATTGCTCTGTCTGTGGGGGCATTTTATTATTTACCATGTTTATTGGTATTCCATTCATTACACGCTAATGGTCAATTGTAAAGGAAAAAAAAATTGCAAGTCTCAATAAATTATGAAATAACATAGTCACAGATAAAACAAAATGTATATTTTGTGGAATTGATGTTTGTTTGTATTGAATCTGAGCCGCTCGATTTGAAGGAATATTTTTTCTTAATGCGATATGCCAATGCTTATATGTTGATTTTATTGTTGCTAAATATTATATTCACATCTCATCGATCTGTGTTGTGTATGTCTGCGGGTCTGTAGGTTTTGTGTGCTTGACTATTGCTTGCAGAGCTGAGCGAGTTTAGCGAGCGAGTGAGCTCGAATATTGTTGGCATCTCCAACAAGAAATGAGATTTGAGGTGGCTGAATGTGATCGTAGGTTGAGTACGAGTGTGTCACACTCATGCTATGTCATACTCTGTTGTCGATTTTTGTTGTTTTCATTTGCAACCAAATGCTTTTTGCTCTCTTTCCGTTTTGAATTTTGATCGGTGGCTAGGAACGCGTAAATCGCGGCAAAAACCAACGACAATTCGTTATTGTGCATGGCCTTTCTGCACATTTGTCGAGTGTGTGTGTGTGTGTGTATGTGGCTGCTCACTATCGATCAATACATATTAATCGCAATGCCAGTGTGCTGTGCATTGAACACACGACATATTTCATATGATAATTTTGTAGCGCTTTTTTTCTCCTTTTTTGTCTTTCATTTTCTTCGTCACCGTGAAGTGGACCGATACGTTGAGAATTGAATTTTATTGCTTTTTTATCGATTCGGCGAGCGATCGGCTAGTAAATAAAACAATTAACTAATATGACGTTGATCTAATCCGCGAACCATAAAAGTAAATCCAACACGATCAACTATGCGCACATGTCACAAAATTCGGAATATTTCATTTCATGTTTTCTTCTCTGTTTGCATTTTTTTGTCCGTCCGTTGGATTTCGTTGTTGTTTTTTCGATCGTTGTCAATTGAACGGCATTCTTTTTATAATTGTTTCTTGGTAATGTTTTTGTTACGCCGTAACTGGCACAAACACACATTCACACACGGAGATGCGGACGGTGCCGGTAGTCATCGAAATGTAACAAAATCCGTGAATCACGCTGAATTAATGTAGTGCAAATCTGTGTGAATCGTTTCTGACTAAATACGAAAAGGTTTTTTTCCCGTTTTTACTTCCATGATAAATCACATAATTACGGTCTCAGCGAATGCGATATGATCGGAGAATCACAGTGGCGGTGTCCGCGCTCGTGCCATTATGCGCAATGCGAATATTATCATTTCCATTTCGCTATACGCATACGCTAGTTCGATCGAGAGAATGCGATTGAGACAATTGCGCGATGTGTAAATAATAAAAAAAAAAGTTGGTTCGAAATGGCGATCACGTACATGTGACACATTCATCATTACGGCGACTGGTTCAGCCTACTAATAATTTGTTTCTGTTGTTCATGCTTTCGAAAAATTCATCAGTTGTCAACTGGTCTTTAGTTTTGTTTTTTCCGAATATTCTGTTCAGATTTTCAATGGAACAAATGGAGGGAACAAATGTACACGGGACATTCAATCCTGGAAGCAAATATTGTTTTTAGATAAATTTTATTTCATGTTCTAAATTTGGCATTTGGTTACCCGAAAATTTGGTCGTCTCATGGGAAATACCAATTGCAAATTAGCTGAGCTGCTACTGCTAACAAATCGATGCAGAGCACAAACTTCAGAATATTAATTACAAGACCAAATGGGAGAGAAAAAAAAGAACAACATGGGCACGTTTGTTCAGTTCTCAAGCAAAAATTACAATTACATGAATAACAACAACAACAACAACAACAGCAATTTGTAAATGGGAAACACTACGAATGACTTGTATGGGAAACACAACGCACATTTCTTTTTCAGTTAGTGCTTACAAAATGATTGAGTTCAGCCTTGGAGTGTTTTTGAGGCGCGAGCGCGTGTTTTCTGTATGATGAGTGTAAGAGAGGCATATAGATTTGAAACAGTGAGGTAGAGATGGAAAGCGAGAGAGAGAGCGAAAGAAAGTGACTAAGGGCCAAAAATGAGAGAAGAAATGCAGCATCCAAATGGTTTTGACGAAAAATGCAAACAAATGAATAAATAACTCGCACATTACGTATGTCAAACGTGTTCGAGCGCGCTCATTGAATGTGGATGATTGCATTGCGGGCGTGCGCTCGTGCGCACTCAACTCGACAACGCCTTTTTGAGTGAGTGAGTGAGCGCGCGCGCGCGCACCTCGCACAAAAGAGTTCTATACCATAAGACAGAAACCTCGTCAACATCTCACAACAATTGAAATTTATTGACCAAAACCATATTGAAATTGGTGTTTGCAATTGCGTAGTCTTATCTTCATATGTTCTTAGTCTTATTTGTCTCACATTTTCTTGTTGTTGTTGTCTGCTGGTTTCGCTCCATTGTACAGTTGTGTGCAACAAAAGATGTGTTGAGCAATCAACAGATCGGTAGAACAACGAAAGCCGTGATGAGTTCATAATATTGAGACTCTTTTGAGTCAATGGTATTTTAAGTGTATGTTGTTTTTAAGAACAGTTTTTTTGTGTGTGTTCATTTTGGAAAATAATATTTACGATCTATTTACATTTGTTTGTAATCGTACATTTGACCATTTTTCGATCGATAAACTTGGACAGCGATACGGTGATGCAATCCAAAAAAGGATAAACAACACCGACTGAGCAATCCGGGATTGTTTCGATCGAAAATTCATTTCCACTCAAATGACCATTGTTTATAACGGAACACGACGCGCGAGCCATGTCACTGCACGAATGAAAAATGGAACAGTCATACATATAGTTAAGTAGAAACGAATTAGATCCATTAAAATTGTATCATTCATATGCGCCCACCGACTTTGACTTTAAGCCGTTTTTCCAGCCTTCTGGTTTGATTTAGATTTACTGAATTTATCTTCGGCATTACATTATTTGGAGTTGGATTCGTTTTGGATATTGTAGTCGGATTAGAATAGTCAGATTGACACAATACATTTACGGATTGAAAATGAAACTACCAAAATTAAACGAGATCGCCACCACAAAAGACACGGTACCTAGAAGTCGAAAATCAACGGACGTTCGAAAATTAATTCGATTCATTAAATTCGACAGATTTCGACTTGTGTTCAATAGGATTGGCTTTTGTTCGCTAATAGACATAAGAAATTGGTTCTAATAGGGGGGAATCATTGGGAGATGAACGTCGAAAAAAAAAACGAAAATGAAAAGAAAAAAAAAATTCGCAACGCCAATTTTGATTTGGGATTTAATTTCGTTTGAATGAAATGGTGTGAGTTCATATAAAAAACCACAGCACACACTAAAATCAATGGAAGTTTGTGTAGGCTTTTTCTTCATATTCCTTCCGAAATTTCGTCTGAATCATTGATCTTAATAAGTAATTAAATCGAAATTGAGATGGCTTTCTGGGTGAGAAGACGCGCTAACGCCTCCGATAACTATCCGTCTATTCAACATAATTGGCATAGATGCGTGTACGTTGGCAATGCAAACAAATGACAAGTTATAGGCATTAAAAAAAAGAAAAGCGAAACATCAGCAACAGCGAGGCAAAAGGTAAGAAAAAAAAACAAGCATACGCATCAATAGACTTCAATTTGTTTGCAGAAAGACGAGAAATTGGCCGTTAAATGTGAACTCATATAATGAAGAAGTAGAAAAAAAATTAACACCAACAAGTTTGAACAGCAGAAAAAAAAAACTGTAATGAATACGCACATATTAAGTCATACAATGAGCCCAAAATGTAGTGACTGCGTGAAAAAAAACACACAGACAACAACAACGTGTA